TTGAAGCCGCAAGCGTGGTGGCACTCACCAGGTGACGCATCTGGGCATCCACTACGGAAGAGTCAGCTTTCATTTCTAGGGCGATGGCCATGTCGTGACGGTTGACGTTTTCGTATGTGTCTTTCCGTGTGTCTTCAACTATGTGCTTCAAACATTCAATCTGGTCTTTTGCTTCACTGATGGATCTCTCACTGGAACGCTTCAACTCCTGGAAGATGTTACTAAAGAGTTTTAAGTACCTCCGAAAAAAATTCACGCGTTCTTTGAATAATACAGTATTCATACCTAAGACGATTTGAATCATCCTCTCATTTGACAGGAACGCAGATGAGAATACGAAAATATTGGTACCGGAGCCAAATGAGCAATCTATGAGGAAAGCGCTGGATGATTATCGCATGGCATTTATGGATATTTTTCCTTTACGATTCAATTAAAGTGCACAATTTTCATTTCATACGAATGGCAAAACGTATTGAAAATCGCATCGAAGTCACATCAACTCAGCACGCTTTGATATAGACAGAAAGACGACGTAACAGTAAGTACTGTTACGCCGCAGTACCGCCGTTCAATGCCATTTGAGATGACTGCTGCTTTTTGCAAAGCCAAATTTCATGGCTGCACTCCCTTGCCTCCAGATTAGCAATATCCGCCTTCGCCCCAAAGTGCACTTCAAAGTCTTTCCTTCGTTGCTCCAGGAGAGAGTGCAACTCTGATCGCGTAGGTGTAACCTTCTTATCTTGTGCGTTCATTTCTTCAAGCTGTTTACGCCTCACAGAGCGGTCAATTGATCATGTTCGCATTTGAACAATGAAATGTTTGAAAATCTCAGCGTCAGTACACCTGCTCAGTGAAATGGCTTGGGAACCAGTTGATTCGGAGCGTTCCGCGCAGAACGCCCCGCGCACGAGGCAGACAGGTGAAAAAGTGTCACCGGACGCGGGGTGTCTCTACATGTACCGGAAGACAATGTATCAGGGTATAATTGGCTGTTACAAACTTCATTCATTGTTTCATGATATTTTCCCCCCCTTCAACACCCCAGATATCGGCCCTCTACAATTGATTCTGCAGAAATGCGTTATCAATAACAAAGCATACTGCAACATAAGTCCAAGCATCATTGTAGACAAATACCATTAATAATAAGCATCCCATCGCGTTCCCTGCACAGTTGATTGTACGTCCTGCTCGTGCAGTTGTCTTGGGCTCATGTTCTTTGCTGTGCAAGTACCGTTGATGCGATTAACTTCGCATTCCACATCCAATGTGCAACGATAGCCTCCAATTGACCAATTGGGTGAGTTCGATGAATACAATGGGGCAATTTGTACCGTCGTGCTAAATATTTCAAATACCCTTCAACTTAGCCCCCAGTAACATTATTAATGTGCAATTTCCTTACCTTTTGCAGCCTGGGAAGAATAACAGACTGGTTGATGTCTGCAAGGGATGCGACCTCGGTCTGATTTGCTTTGGAGATGATAGCGGCTTCCAGCATCGGTATCGATTCGTTCAATGAATCGCCATTCGTTCAAACCCTGCACATTCACACAGATAATTTTCCGCCCGTTAAGAAATTTCGCATTCTTTACTGCTGATAAATCGTGCATTGGGGTGACGGTGTTATCAGAATTCACCTCTAGTTTTGGCTCTGTGAGTTGCCGCCGCCACCGCCACGCTCAAGCGCACCTTCACAAGGTCTTCGACCATCAGCGGCATGGTTGACCGCCACTGTGTGGAGCCCGACGACCAGGGAAAATATCCGTTTTGGAACCGTTCCATTGGGGATCTATGGGCAAAGAAATTCGCACAAGCCCCTTTGTGCCGGAAAAAGTCTCTCCAGAAGGCCTGCGTATGTGCAGGCCGGCGATTCTGCAATACGCTGAAGGGAATTGAAAGTACAGAGTATCTTCGACTTCCTGAACTTAGAAACCTCAGACGCATTTTCTTCCCTCAAATTTAGTTCAACTTGCTTTCTGTCCTCGCAAGAGGTCGTCGCTGACAGCCTGATAACAAATACTAATGCTTGTCACGCTCTGCGATCATCTGAGAGACGTAGCAACCGCAAATATGTACTGAAAGTCAATGGATTCGCTGGATTAAATTAATCCGCCACTGCGCCATTGGTGAAGCAGCAAGGATGGGAAATTTACTTTCCCGTAAAAGAACGTCCTGATCGTTCTTATGTATGCTCAATAAGCGAATGGCCATTTTGCATAGACAAACCCGGGCTGCACGATTGCAGAATTTCTTCTTCAGCCAGGTCATTTCAGCCCCGCTGTGTGACCCACAATCAGACATAGACACATACATCTATTGAGGGACGTTGCATGCTGAACCAGAAAAAGCTTGTTCAAAAAACTTGTGGGAATATCCGTGCAGACGCCCGATTCAATGCCAATGGAATTGCGCTACCATCGTTTTGTGTATGCAAAAGGGATAGAGGTAGAATCACCAATACTTCTCATTGGGTGATTACTTACATCACGGAAGGCCCCAATTCGAGGCCTGGACACCAAAGCCGTCTGAAACAACTTGCCTTTCATATTCAAGAAAGAAACACACGAAAGTTGACCTGGCTGAAAATCTGCAGCTCCTTAACAGTTATTCCCTGGGGTGGTTTCCATGGCTGAGATCATTGAAAAAACAACACCATGCAAAATACCTTCGCAAGTGAACTAATGATTAGAACTTGCACATGCCCATTGCTCATCATCGGGGAGAAACGGCGTGCCACGATCCTTTGCAAGTGTCTGTCAATTGTGTGTGATGGTGTCAATGTCATTGGTGCCAGTACTCACCCGAAATTCCACCCTCGTCAATCAGGCGTCTGGATGCATGGTTATGCTCATGACAGGATTCCTACGATTTGTACATTTCATCAATGCCCACAGATTCGACATCGACCACACCGGCGGGCCTATTGAATTGAGAATTTGCAGGTATATTGCGTCTGATAATTTGCTGCCAACAGAGTACTCTTGCACACTGGCTAGACTATAGTGTGGAGAGCTTACTGGCTCCTATGTGTTCTATCTGCCATCCGATTCACAAGAAAAGTTTAGGATGTTCGCCGCAGTGCTGCGTGTCAATGACTCGAATACCTACCCTGTTCCCGCATACATAAAGCAGCAAACTACAGATCATCTGATTATCGCAGAATGAAACAAGATCTCCTGAGAACATCGCGCACAAAGTTGGTCATGGACGCTCATTACGCACACAAATTATGGCAAGTTTTTGGCACACTACGGAACAGCTTTCAGTGGCTATGAGCTTTCGGTTTCTTCTGCTTTACCAAGAACTTCGATCAAGGAGCAACACAAGGGTGCCCTACAACTCCTTTTCGCGGCGGTGGCTTTTCTTCGATCCTGGAGCCGATTAGCTCCACTCACTAGGAAAAAAACAAGCCAGGTGGCACAGTCTTGACACGGTCTGCTCAAAACCCAACTGCGTCCTTTCGGCAAATGTGGTCCCAAAACCACACAGTTTCACCCGTGTGCTCATGGGGTGCATGCAATCCGCATTTCCGTTGCACGATAGGCATCAGCACTGGCATATCATTGAATTTCTAACATTCCATTGGCCAAAAATTTCCGATGTGCACACTCCTGCTCCGCTGGCCAAGGCACCGTTACCACTGACCGTGATCATCGGGTGGGTATACCTCCCTTGCCTTGAGCCCTCCTCGCACTTGGTTTACTGTATTCCGATGTCCCGAATAGCCAATAGGCCAGAAGTAAAATGATAAACAAACCGAAATTCAAATATGGAACCCCCAATTTCTATATGCAGACCAGATGTCAGCGGCTTCATAGATTGCCGTGATCAACAGTTGCTGGAATCAATGGGACAAAAAGGAAAAATTGCACACGCTTTGTACGGTCCGGGGCGGTCTCGCCCATCTGCAGAAACTGCCATAAGAATGCCTTGGACTGATGTGTCGAAACGCGTTGCTGAGGCTTGAAGGTGACAGGGTGTCGCTATTAGAGTCTGGTGGCAAATTGGAGTGTGATGTCATTGGAGTCTGATGATCAGACTCCAATTGCATAAATCGTTCAGAAAGATCGTTTAACCACCAAAAGTTTTAACGCTGCTGTCTCGCTGTGGTCTGTAGGCTGTTGATTTCGATTTTGAAAAGACCATCCGCTGGTGGGGACATCTTGTTCACCTACGTCATCCCAAAACAACGACAGTAATAGGGCAGCATATGCAGCCATTGTTGAAGCCTGTTCAAACTCAATAGACTGCTGATGGCATCAAATTGATGCTATCTACGCTAATCACTGCCGCATAGAGACTCGGCCATCAGCACCACATCGGCAATACTGCTGCTGATGCACACAACCCATAAACTCAGGCACTTCAACAGATCGCTAAGGGCCTCAAAGTCACGGTCATTGCTGCTCGCATGCTGTTGCTAAAATGCTGCAGCACTGCTTAGCAATGCTTCATTGCTCTCCTTTTCGTATGGTAGTTTAACCGAAACCTGATCGAACCCGTATCAGCGGCCGCGCTGCTATCTCCCTTTTGAGTCCACTTCTCCTACTAGGGGACTCGTGCGTCGCCGCTGATCCCCTCAAGCCACCCAGCGGCCCCGAGTGTGACCGACAGGTTAGATGGCCACCCATTTGAGGAGACACCATCCGCAGCACAACAGCCAAGGAGCCCAGCCCCCTCCCACGAGCGCCGCTACTCAGCGTGCTCCACAGCACCCGTGCCCTTCTTTCCGTGTCGCTGGGGAGCTTGTTGCCCTGCGGCCCAGGGTTTCTTCTCAATGGCGGCGCCGCAGGCCCTGAAGGTGCTGCGGGCGCTGCAAAGCCAACCAGAAAACAAGGTGCGGCACCTCGCGGACGGCGCCCAGGGGCGCTCGTCAGCAGCCGCGGCGCCCGTGATGGCTTCGGCGTTGAGTCGTCCCCTCTCTGCTTGCCCAGGTCTGCGTTGACTGCGATGCGAAGAATCCGCAATGGGCGTCCGTGTCCTACGGCATTTTCATGTGCTTGGAGTGCAGTGGACAGCACAGGGGCCTCGGCGTGCACATCAGCTTTGTCAGGTGAGGGTCGCAGGCGGCCTGGCGCTTTCGCGAACGCCTGTGAGCGCCTGGCTGCTGAGCGAGCTGTGTTGCGGCCCGTGAAGGTCGGTGACGATGGATGCCTGGACGCCCGAGCAGCTCAAAAAGATGGAGCTGGGGGGCAACGGAAGGCTGATCGCGTTCATGAAGCAGTACGGACTGGACAAAGGAACGGCCCATCGCGACAAGTACAACTCCCCTGCAGCCGAGGTGCGATTGGTGGCCGGACGTGGCCCTGCCTGTGTCGAAGTGACTTGTGTATTTCCTGAACGGCGGAACGGGAAGACTGCCGGTGTGTGAGAGTGACGGGTTGGGCTGCCAGGGGTGCCTTGGGGCGCTTTTCAATGCTCGTTTGCGCCCTCCTGGGGTTGGATGGAGTTGTGAAAAGCTGTGTGTGTCGCCTGCAGTACTATCGCGAATTGCTCACCTCAGAATGTGAAGGTCGCCGATGTGCGTTAACCCCTCCACCCAAATCGTCCTCCAGGTCATCAGGCCCGTCACGCCCCAAGAAGGCGGAGGACGATGGTTGGAGTGACTGGGGAGCTGGCGCCCCCACCCCCCAGGCGAGTTGCTTATGTTTGGGGGCAACAGCTGTGGGCAAAACACACTGAGATGCTGCAGAGCCTTAGGACTCGACGCTGCCTGCGAACAACAGCAAATGGCTCGCTGCAAGGCACCGTCATCTGATCAGGACTCCCTTCATGCATCTGCAAGGCCACAATATCATACTGGAGTCATGTTTGCAGTCAACACAAAAAGCGACTGAAGATGCTGTTGGTGCGAGATGATTGTAGTATCAACACTGCCAACTGTTGTAGCTCCCACCCAAACCGTGCACAGCCCCCGCGCTGTCCTTAAAAACTTTGTTCAGACATGCTGAGAGGGGGCACTGTTGTCCAACACAAAATGGTGGGAAAATGGAACAGGGATTCCAATGGTGATGGAAGATGTTGTAAGCTATCCATTCTTTGCTCTCTGGCGTGCAGGGATCGAAGAGACCGGAAGCAAGAGGAGAATACACAGCTGCTGCTCTGGAAGCCTCGAGTGCACAGAAAGAGGCCTTTTTCTCCAGGAAAATGGAGGTGAGTATAGCTTTCATCCAAGCAGTCAGTCGTGCTTTGAAGATGCAAGCGCTGCAAGCATCTGCTCTCATTTGGGGGCAGTCTGCTGATTCTGTGCCTGGATAGTTGCTGACAAATTGAGGATTTTCTATTTGCTATGCAGGAAAACGCTCAGCGGCCAGAGGGGGTTCGCCCAAGTGCGGGTGGCAAATATGTTGGTTTTGGCTCCACACCACCACCACAGCCAAGGCACGGTGGAGGAGACGAGGTGACAGCTATTCTTTCAAAGGGTTGGAATGGGTTGTCTCATATCGCTGGGATGGCTGCCGAAACTGCACAGTCAGCAGTGAGGAGGTGAGGGAACTCAGAAATGGTGTTGGCAAGGACTGATGCACTTCTGGGCTCTGTGCAGCCACAATGCTTGTGAGCGTACTTTGTCTGGTATGACTTCCAAATGGAACATGCATGGAAACCTGGTTTTCCCTATGCCTGTTAAGTCAGGCTGTTGTCATTCTTTTCCAAAGAATGAAAGACAGATTGTCAACTCTAGGGCATGCTATTGTTGTACTGGTGTATTGTTGTGTAAGTTGTTGTCAGCATGGGCCGCAAATCACGGACATTGGTCGCCAACTGCTTGCACTCCCACAACCACATGGACAAGATTTGAAGCTGCACACCAGTGCTGCTTGCAATTTGGCTTCAGCTTGCCTGGGAATGCAGCACTTTGTCAGCCTTCAAATGTTGTTGCTTTGCAGTGGGGCTGCCACCTTGAAAGACGAAAGAGTAGCTGAGAGGGTTCAACAGAATGCAAGGTTAGCAACAGAGAAGGGTAAGGAGATTGGACGAAAGGGCTGGGTTGGCCTCAAGTCCCTGTACGCCACAGTGGCATCTTCGGTGGAGAGTGTGGCAAAAGACAATGGATACAACATCGATTTAGGTAGGACTTGGAGTTGAACTTGAACTGTATATTTGTTGGTCTTGAGAGTGATTCTATGGGATGATGTGTTGCGCAATTGCTTCGCAGCTTCTTTCTGTGGTCAGGTAAATGAACATGAAGGGAAGCACTTTTGAGGCCCGGGGCGGGGGAGACTGGGATTGTTGCAAACTGAAATGCTTGTCAGATGCAAACCCTATCAGGCAGAAATATGCCTGGTAGGGTTTAGGGACACCGTAGTCGATTCAGTTGCTTAGGCATGACTGCTGCACTGGAATCGTTTCGCAGGTGCCAAGGGTGTGAGTAACAGTGTAAAGAGGAATGCAGCCATGGCAAGGGCTGGGCCAGCGTACCATGGGGTGAGCAGCGTTGGTGACCTCCCATCGATGGAGACAAGAACAGGCAATGGTTTCTCCGGATTTGGTGGCAACGAAGGCGACACAGATGCAGACAACAGCTGGCAAGGAACACAGAGAGACGGAAAGCCTGCTGATGCTCCAGGGGGAATGGCTAGACCGTGGAGTGAACCCAGCCTGGTTTCCAAAACTAAGGCACCAGGAAAACCAGCCACAAAGGTGGCTGACGATTGGGGTGGATGGGGAGATGGCGACAACGAGGACCAAAAGGACGATGTGGATGATGACTGGGGAAAGTGGTAACCCCAATTGATGACGCAGGGTTCTGCTACACAGGAGTAGCGACCACGTTTGCCTGTTCCCCACCACGGCAATTGGTTGCATTGTGTGGGAAGGGGTTTGGCAAATTAGCGATATTGGCTCCTCAGTTGCTGAATCAAGGTGTGCAGTGCAGAAGAGGGTGTCGTGGACTTCATTGTCACGGCCTATTGTGTGGCTTTGGATTGTAGCTATCGGATGTGCATGGCAGCTGTCGAAGGCGTCTTTCTGGCGAAGCAGGCCAAACAAAGGCGGCCCGTTTGGGTAGTGCGTGTGGTCGAAGGTTGGAGGGGAATCCATCATGGTTTGAACGACGCTGTTCAAGTATTTAGATTGTCGGGCTAGTCGTGTGCGTGAATCAAATTGTAGTCCACGAACGGATTCTTTAATGGTGCGCTATGTCGACAGGACGGATCTTCCTCGTGTATCAACATACAAATGGTTACCTTGTATGCACGCAAATGTGCTTGCAGTTTGTGGCGATTCACCAACACAGTGAATGGCAGGGCGCGGGAATGCCTGTCCTCAACATGCTGCATTTTGGTCCCTGCTGCCTTGGCAGTGTACAAGTGCTTGTGTGCTGCAGATTCATGCAGGACGCCTTTGGTACTGTTTTGAATTGCTTCAAGTGAAGTCTGCCTTGCTCGGAGACTGTGAGTCGGAGAGGCAAATGCACAGAACATAGTGCGGCTGTTGTCCCGCGTAAGTGGTTGCACACTGTCGAATTTGGTACGCCTGGGGTCGAATTCACCCCCCATCCCCCCTAGTGCCAATTTGACGATGATTGTACCAAACCGACGCAACGCAAAACCTCAACAAGAGACCACTGCAGACAACAATGCGCGTAGCCGGCACTGGGCATGTCTGGAACCCCTCTTGTCACATGGTTCACTCGTGTGACTCATCTACAATTGGCAACCTCGCAATTTGTGTCGCTGTGCAAACCTTCGAATGTCAACTGTCCAGTGCATACATCATCGATTGCTCCCACGAGCCTGAACGATGCAGCATAATTTCTACGGAAATACTTGACGTGTTGCTTGTCTCCTCATTGTGCAAGGACTGTTCACAAAAGGGATGATCGGCAAACAAATTTAGCGTCCTGTTGTCGGTAATGGAAGTCCCAAAATGCGCATGAGCCCAGAAACAATATTCACACAACACTGTTTCCAAACATAGAAGATGGTGCAGTGGCACGCTGTGAATCCCGTCGAGCAAAAACGATCCCCATGGCACCCAGGGTGAAGCCAATGGGCACGCACAACATCATTTCCTCCACGGGCCCAGGAGTTAATGTCACAAGTAGGGTAGGATTGCACAATGTCCTTAAAGCTGTCTTCTCTCATTGGTGCCTTTCGATGTGGCGTTGACTCGCATTACCCCCTGAAAAACAATAAACGAAACGCACTCTAAAGGTCCTTCTGAAGGTGTGGGTTGTGCTTGCGCCATTCATCTGCGCATGCCAAGGCTCTGCAAGACACATGTTCTCGTCACGCCTGTCAACTGCAACACACTCTCTGTTGTGTTCCCGAACATTGTTGAGGACCTTCAAATATGCACTAACTAAACCCATGAAGACAGGTCGTCCTGATCCCCAACATTCTCATTGAGTTTTGAACCACTTTCTCAGCCAAAACCGCGCTTGTGCGACAGGCACATTCCACTGTGCCATCCCCCTTCGTCAGCCACTGTTGTCCGCACCTGTTTCCCTCGCCTAGTCGTTCTTGCCCTTTGATTGGCTGCTGATCCCACCCATGTAGATTTGGGACACTCCAATGAGAACCAGCACTATCACAACCTGCGCATTCATAATCCCATAGAACCCAAGACTGGTGCCAATTTCTGCCCAACTCCCGGTGTTGCGCACCAAGAAGAAGAACCTCAATGCTATGACATTCGACAGAAGCACCACCAGCAGGTACATCCTGAACTGCCACATGCCCGCCCGCTGTACCTTCGCAGTAAAAGCGCAAGTGACTAATACCAGGGGGATTAAAATCTTGGCAACAAGGACACCTCCCATGATGAAGGGATTGAACACTGTGGTAAGGCGGTATACAGATGCAATGTCAAAGCTGGCAACACTGGCCGCATTTCCCTGGCCAAAGAAAGCTACGTTGATCAGCAGCAGGAAGGTCAGCGCATCCACGACGTCTGCAAGACCCACACCATGGGGAAGCTGTTGTTGATGAGAAGCATAAGCAGCGGAATCTCCACCGACCTGGTTGTAACGACCACACCCTTCCTGGCATTCACCCTTGTGAGAATAACCCGGCCCAGGACCACTTCCTGTGAAATGCGACCTTCCGCCACTTTTGACACTTGGGGCACGTATATGCATAACGTCTGCAGATCCCATTTCCTGCCAACTCCACAGCACCCACCACAAAGAACAGAAAAAGAGCGGCTCCCAGGATATGCTGACAACAGTAATTGATGACAGAAAACCCAGAAATACGCTTTGGATACGCTCCTGGAACGCGCAACCAGAAAGCAGGGGAATCAGTGGCGAGCCTGTGAATATCAACCAAGAGAGGGCCTGCATGGGTGTCCATCCCATTAGAGCCCCGCTGCGGCTCCTGAGCTGGCTGGGTGTTAGGTGTGAAATCCACACCAGACAGCTGGCGGCCAGTACTGTTAGAATTTGTGCCAGAAGGATGGCCAGCCTCCAGTTTCCCATGTCCTGTCGCCAAGGCCTTGTGCTCAAAACTGCCACAATACCCATCAGTCCCCCACCAGATGACATCACAGGATTGCTCGACTTCGTCAGCGGCAGCCAGGTGAAGGCTCCACAAACAGCAAAGGAGGAGAAGCAAAGAAAGCCCTGCATGCCAGACCTGGGTCGTAGCAGCATGGCCTGGACCCCTGCCACGCACATGAGAAACAGAAAAATCCGCCTGTTATTGAACCCAGAGGAAATTCCAAACAGGAACAGCAAGACTGCTGGGACACCAACACCTACAGTTGCCACAGGGGCATCCAATGCTCTGGACTTCAACACCTTTGTCGACTGCTGAATGATGTGCAACACCTCAGCCCAGCATGCCAATGGCAACACTGCATAGAGATAGTATGTGAACTGAGCGCCCGCTAAAGCCAAGCGAAGCCATGACAGAAGAATGAGAACAGAGCCAACAACCCGCCAGGTGTTGATGATCGATGCGTGGTGCTGATTTCCGACACAGACCAGCAGTTGCAAGGCCAGGAAAGCCATCCAGCCAAGAAATGAAAGAGAGACTGCAACCTTGAGCACAGGGCCATCGTATCGCTGCAGGTAGAGCAACCCATCCTCAGCCAAGTCTGCCAGCTCTGTGCTGAGCCTTTCTGCTTCTGGGTACCGCTGACAATGCAGAGCTTTCTCTATCCTGGACATCAAAACATCCTTGCCATTCTGCAATGGGCCATAAGGTCGGAACTTCCACCCAACCACAGTCTCTTCCACTTGCTCAGCCTTCCTCTCGTATGCAGCAACCACCTGGCGAGCACTGGCCCAGGCAGCCTGGGATCTGAACAAATCCCCAACTCCAAGCAGCTCCACTGGGACGTGGAACAGAGCATTCACAGGAGTGGACACACCAAGCAAAGCGGCCATCAGCGGTGCAATCTGAGCTTGTTCAATGTCCACCCTGCTTTTTGAGTTATATCCCCACTCTGAAACATTTTGACTGGCAAGCCTGCCTCTAATGCCTGGGCCCCAGAGCACCAGGGGTGTTTCTGTATTTTCTGGGGAGCCGTCGCCATGGCTGGCCTGTGCTGTGCAACAGAACAACAGTCCGGTTCAAGGCATGCGTGGCATGGGTTTCACTGAGGGCTGCAGCAATGGAACACACTAACATGACCAAAAGGCAGCACACACAGACACAGCCACACACATGTTGCTCCACCCACTTTTGGAGGTCTGGCTTGCTGGACCTGTGAGCAAACACCATTCAGGTATCCTGGCAGTCTTGTCAATTTGCCTACAAACAACCTGTAGCTCAGGAGACTGACGGTACCAAAGTGAGTTGTTCAGTGCAATGGCAACATTGCAAACACAACACAATGTGCACCTCTTTGCTTGGACCACAGAAGAACCCATAGAGTGGCCACGAAAAGGTTCCTTGTTCTGCTCTTCCCCATCAACTGGAACATGTCCTCAACCTTGTCGTGCGCAGGAAATTATGAGCTTCCAAACCTCGATCAGCACATTTTGCACCGTACCTGTCATGCCATGGTCGGCAGTGAACACAAATGATGTACACCCATCTGGGAAAGCGGCTTCCACCCAGCCAGCCAGATTTCGTATGCCCTGGTCCACGAACTTTATATTGTGCAAGTATTCCGGGGAGGAAGGGCCTCCGTGCGCGTGGCCATTGGAGTCCAGGCCCAGGAGGTGAAGGAACAGGACAGATGGGCCATCCTTAAGGGGGTGACTCTCGTTCGTCGCAGTCGCGTTTTGAATGAGCCCAAAGGCCCTGTCGAAGACCCAGGCGTCCAGAGTCGTCAGATCGTCCGCTGAGAAATCCTCGAAGTCTGGAGGGTAAGCATCATAGGCGTAGGGGCCGTGGCCTTCGAAAATGGGCACGACGTCAGGGGCACCCAAGCCCCAGGAGCCAAGGGTGTGGTTGAAAATGGAGTCAAACTTCACGGGATTCACCTTCCAGCCGGACAGCAGTGCACTGGGATCTTCGTAGAAGCCCGCAGCTATGGCGACGTGGCCAGGGCGCGACTCCGTGGGCGGCCTTGTGTGTGCAACCCCAAATGCGCCGTGCTCAAGACCCCTGGACCGCAGGAAAGGGGCAAGCGGAGCCCCGCTGGCATCGGACGAGAACAGCTTGTCTGCTCTGAGGCCGTCGGCCACGATCAACACCACGCGTTTGGCCGGCGCGGATATGTTGACTGGCAGCGGAGCTATGCCGGGGACGACGGGCGTCTGGAAGTGTATGTCAATCACGCTATACGCCAGCACCAAGTGGACGGCAACGCCAAGGCACACCAAGGCGGACGGGTGGTCCCAGTAGCCCCCCCCTACGGCGCTCATGCTGGTGAAGACACTCCTGTCCAGCCACGCGAGACGCCTTGGCTACGTCTTAATCCTCCAAACTGCCCAAGCCCAGGGCATTGTCATGATCACCATGATTATCATTCACTCGTACTTCAAGTACACAACAAGGCAAGGAGGTTCTGAACATGTACGGAGTTCTATCTAGATTTTGGATAAAACTGCCGCACAAAATGACTCGCATGCTAGCGAGGAGGAAACAGCCTTGTCCAAAACAGAATGCACTGACAGTGTCTGGAAGAGAACCCCTGGCAAAGCTGACCAGATTGCGGTTGCCGTTGTGTCTGAAATGCACCTCTAGCGTCTCTTGAGAATGGCCAGAATGGACCCATTCCAGCAGTTCCGTTTGTCAAAAGTGCTGGCAACTGCCCGACCGGAAACATGCCCTGCAAGGATTTTGCAAATTGGGTTCGTTTTCGGCAAGCAAGAATCGAGACATAGAACGTTTCTGAACCATGCCTCTCCAACATTGAATTTGTTGCATCGCCAAACCATGGCGCCACAGATCCTTGTGGCCCCGCCGCACGTGCTGCTAATTGGTCGGCACTCAGCCTTTACGCAGCAAACAGCTGCGTTGCTGGCATGTATTGAACCCAGCGTGGTATCAGGTGCAGGTATCGTCTGTGGCGTTTATTGTGCACACAGCTATGCTATCGCGCCGTGGAAAGCACGGACAATAGCTGCCTACTGAACATTTTAATCTTGCAATTTCAAATGCTGTGTAGAGACACGCATGGCCGGCGAAACGCGATCATAGCTGCAGAACTTGTGGCATTAGCCTCAGCATGGCTAACACACGCGGTATTTGTTGTGGGAGCTGTGAGCTCACATTCTTGCACGGTACACAGTCAGGAGTCTCATGAGTAATGTTCGGATGGCATAAAACGTTGGCGGCCCGCGCAACTTCGGTTGCTTTGGACGCCAGATGTGGCGATACCATGTTGCTATTGGAATTGTTTAGTCAAGTTACGATAGAATGTGATGCGTTATCCAGAAAAACGGCGATTATACAGTTTCCCATTTCGAAAATGATTCTATTGACCCTTAGTTAAGAGCGACAATGAGAGGCATTCATAAACTAGGAGGTCTCGGCGGCTACTTGAGGACTAAGATTGGGTGCATGGCACATAAATGTACTATTGATGGAAGTCATGGAATACGTATCTAGCGTTCAGTGACGAAATTTGGCTGCAGTTTAGCTACCTCGAGCGCGCTCATCTTTGCGGACGCTGGCGTTCGCGCAGAAAGGTATGCGCTATTGATCTAGCAACGCCCGTGCATGGCACCGCTATCCAGAAATGGCTTTCCTCACGGCAGCCTCACTTGGCTGCCCTGCCCCGTTACCCAAGCCAAGACGGATCACACACCAAGAGAAGGGCAAAAAACATAACCACACGCCTGAACCGATTTGTATGCATTCGTCAATCGCACCGACCGCCGGTTTCGGACAAGCTCGGATATGGTCTCTTACATTCGCTTCTTGGCGCGGTAGCCCGGGCAAGCTTCTCCCGGGCACATGGCCCCGAGTTCAGACAGCTCCGCAGGCGACAGCGGCAAACGCTCGGAGCCAAATTCCCCCGCGGTTCAGCGCTCGTCTAGTTGTGGTCTCATACAGTCGCCCAGGCCGTCGTCCCTGAAGGAGCGAACTGATCCAGACCCTGCCGAACGCACAGCTGGCCACAAACCTGTGGACTCCGCGACCGAAAGTTCGAGCTCCGGAGAGGTTGTGCCACACCTAAGAGCCCCGCTGAGAGTGTGTGCCCTGCCATGTAGCACTGAGCGGGGACAGTGGCCAGGTGTCCAGGAGAGGTCCTGGCTGAGGTCAAATGTGCGACACGGCAGCGGCGCCACACGCGGCGGCTCGCCGCTCCACGTTGCAGCAGTCACAAGGTTTTTCAGAAGAGAATTCGGAACCAGGGTAAAGCGGCGTGTCTGCTCACGTGTTGATGTTACTACGGAAAGGAGGCAGTCATGAGCAAGCAACTAGCTTGACTTATCCCACTTTCGGTGCTGCTATTTTTCGCAGCCTCCAAAGCCTTCAAGCTCGGGTGCAAATTCTGTGTCGCACAGTAGATGGAGACGGGAGGCTTCCTACGACACCTCAGACGAATATTCAGCTTGGGTGAGCAGTAGATAGCAGACGGTGGTGCCCATCCAGGATTGATCAATACTTGTCACTATTGAGGTTGGTGTGGCTGCAGCATTGGAGAATTATGGATGCATTTTGCAGTTGCACTTGTTCCGCGGTGCTGCTAGAGCTAGAACTGATCGAGCGTTACTAACAACTGAATGCATGAAGAGATGATGAAGCCTAGGAATCGCATTAAGGACGTTGATGAACGGACTGAATATAAAGGACAGGACGCCCGTTGTCCTTTCCCTCGGATGTAAACCGTTGCCGTGGATTCGAGCGTACAGTTCCCGTTTAGGGGTTGCCACCCCTAGATCCTTCCTGCCTTTCTCAGTGCCTACTTGGCAGTGCTCATGCATCTTGACAGCAACGTTACCTGATGGAACTTCGGTGTGCGCTCAGTCGTCGCAAGGAGAGGACTCTGGGCACTCAGAAAGACCCACTCTGTCGACGTTTGAAGAAACACAAGCGAAGGTGCAGTGATGTGTCGAGGGTGTCCGCTCGGCTCCGACACGGCAGCATCTCTGCATACACTGCCTCGGGGAGATTATATTCTCCCTTTCGCTCTGCTGAATACCACTCACAACTGCCCGTAGTGCTCCAGGTCCTGTGCGTGAGGCCATGTGTTGCTCAGAGCAACTTGCTCTGTTTGGCAAACGCCTGGGGAGGGTCTCGAATATTTATCCATGGAATATCAGCGCAATGAATAGACATTCCAGATAAGTGTGACGAAAGTCTCAGTTTCTTTCTGGTGTGCTTCAAGCAAAATGAGCAGTTGGCCTTGCATAGTGGGGAGATTCAGCTTGAGACCGCGATGCGCCCCTCCTGTTCTCTTTTGAGACAGGAGCTGAGGAGCGCCATAATCGGCAGAAGGTGTGCTCAGATGCAGGAAGACATTAGAGAAATAATTCGACAAGTGGGAGAGCAGCTTGAGAAAGAGAAGGATGAAGACGCAGATTCCACAGCCACGCTGCAATGGTGAGCGACAGTCACATCTGCACTGCGACTAGCACAGCATCGTTCCACCACGTACCACACAAGAAACCGCTGCTTTACTGCATATATACACCTCAACTCACCCATTCAATCAGTTGGCGAACAAAGTTTGCTCAATGAACTGCTCTTCAGCCAGCTGCGCTCTGAGATCAGCTGATCAGTGCCACTGCCACAGTGAAACTGGTGGAGCCTCCTCGCCAGGATAAGTGAGAATACTTGATGATGATAATGACACAACAGCGTTGCAGATTAGAAGTGCGAGCACCCCAGTGAATGATCACAACAAAATGAATTGACCAAATGCATGGAAGCTGGAGGGTATACGCGTTTTTGCTGCTATGTCTGAGTTGCGTCATTTTGATATGCTCAAGCCTCTTGCTCCTGCTCTGCAATGAGCCAAAATTGCAGCCAATTCGCCTGACAGCCCCTGGCAAGGCATGTTGCACTGGTAGGAAACTCCCTATTTGCAATGCCAGCTGCGATGCCATTTTGACACAAATTGATGCCGTCACAGTGAGTGCGATGGCATAAAAGGGGCTGTGATGGCATCAATTTGTGTCAAAATGGCATCGCAGCTGGCATCGCAAAACGGCCGTTTTCCACTGGTGCTGTCTACGCACAACAGCTGTCGCCAAGGGGCTGTTATGAATAGGCAGCGTAGTTGTTGTGGATGGGTTAAGGTAGTATGGAAGAAACGCCACTTCCTTCGATGCACAGCTTGCAAAAGGGTTCAAATGTTTTAAATCCAGCAGTTTTCGCGACTTTGAGTCTTTATTTGACAGGGTCATGGCAACGGGCAGTACTTTATTGAATCAAGATGCGGAGACCTTGCGCGAAACAGTAAAAGAGACGATCAGCGACATGCAGGTAATAATACGTGACGGCCATTCTGTCACTCATAAAAGAGTGCTGAAATTTCTCTATGCAGAAGATGGAGTGTGGGGTAGATGGATGCAAACCCCTCCATTGCTGAAACTGTTTTCAGCGATCCACTACTTGGGATGCAAATATTTCTCACACCCAGGGATACCAGCTCGGCAAGTTTTGAAATTGAATCACTGATGTGAGCGACTTCTGATATGAAGTTTAGAAAATGTGCAGCTGTGAGGTTTTGAATTCTGTGTCTCCCGAACGTTCTAATTTGAGCTCTTCTAATTGAATCTCTTGTGACCCAGCACCGCCTGGGAGTGTACACTTCCTCGGAGCGCGAAAGATCGTTTTTGGTGCGCCTCCTGCTCGCCGTATCGAGGTGCAGCCGATGGCTGATGGCTGACACAAACGCTTCTCACAGCAGCCACGAGTGTAGAAGCGGCAGCAGCAAAACCAGTTCTGGTGAGTTTACGCACAACTGCGCACACGTTCATGTTTTACTGCAGCGTTTCTCAAAGTGAGTACTGCTGACGAATTTATTGGTTCCGAGTTGCGTTGGGTGGATGCTGCAATGGCAGCTGCGTGCGCTCTTGCGATGTGAGACCGCAATATTCATTCGCGCCCAGCACCGAGACATACTCCCTCTTGTACAACCTCTGTAACAACCAAAACTGCGAATACGAAAGGCTTAAATTTGTTGTTACTTTGTCAAAGGGCAACGCTCGGAGCGTTCACAGCATCGAGATCGGTTATGCAGATCGCTATCAAGCCTCACCAAGCTCAGCAGATCAGGCTACCACTCTCCTAGCAGCACAGGTACGCCTCCGATATTGACGCCACACACATGTTGGCTCATGTGCCATTGCAAACCTTGTCTGCAGCAGTTCTCCCGTGTGCGCAGATGGCCCGCAGCAAAACGCCAGCTCGGCATCGGTGAGCTCCGCAACGGGAGATTCTGCGGAAGGTTCAAACGACTCTGTGT